GGTGGGAGGTCTCTGCTTCTCTTGCCTCTGATGCCGAAATCCATTCATTGAACTCAAATAATGGCTGGAGCTGATGGGGCTGACTGAGTCCTGGACACCCCCTCACTTTCCCCTTCCTCTCCTTCCTCCATGACCCCCTCCTCTATTGCTCCCCTCCCCTCCTTCCAAGACCCTTCCTCCTGGCTTGTCTCCCACCTGCCCCACGACCTCTCCCTTCTCCATCTTCCCTCGCCAACCACCTGAGGCTAACACTGCACACCTGTTCCCCCTTCCTAACCAGCCTCCTCCCTGCCCCCTCAACCCCAGCCACCCCGGAAGCTCCTTCCATATTTGATGTCTCTGGCCACCCCCATTTCACTGCTCCCCTCCCCCCGGAAAACACCAGAGAGGAGGAAGAGATCCGGCGTTTCTCCGACCCCCAACAGTGAGGCTGAGTTGGGGGGTTCCCTGTGACCACCCTCCCCCCGCCATGACTCTGTGTATTTCTGTCCCCAGCTCTTGTCACCGCCTGAGGCCTCGAGAGACCCTCGGTCCCCCCCTGCCCCTTTCCCCCAGGTTAGCAATGGGGAATGGCTGGGAGGGGGTGTCCCGGAGATAGTGGGCTTCCACCCCCCCTCAGGCTCTGTCCCCTGTGGCCAAGATGCCGTCCCCCAGACAGCCCCTTGGCACGGCTCGGAGAAGTCCCAGACACTGGCAGGACTCTTGAGATGGCCCCAAGCTTTCAAGAGACCACACAGGTGCTCCTTGATCTCAGGCCCCAATCTTAGGTCCCCTGGCTGTCAAGACAGTTAGAACCTTCCCCTGGGAAGTTTCCTGTTGAAACTCCCTGACCCCTTAAAGGCCCCCTGCCACGACCTGCGGGTGAGCCAGCTTTGCCCCCTCCCGGGGCTCTGGAGCTGCTCTCCCGCGCCCAGAGGCACTGCCAGCCTGGCTCGGCCATCCAGCCCCGCACCCCCTGTCCTTCCCCGCAGCTAGGTGAGCCCCAGCCCGCAGCCCCCCGCTGCTCCCAGTCCTCCCGCGCTGCTCCCCACATGCCTCCCACCTGAGCTCCGGCCCATGCCCCTGCTGCCACCATCCGCCTTGCTGCCCCCCACCTTTTTGCCTC